CTGCCACCACGCTCTCCAACTGGGAGAACTGGAAAATCCATCCCTCCTGATCCGCCCCATGCAAAGCGCAGCCCCATCACTTGCCCAGCACCACGACCCCGGCCAGGCAGTGCAGCTCCAGCACCTTTTATTGGTTTGGGCTGCAGTCCCGACCGCCCCGCTGCGTTCCCTCTTCCAACGCCCCGTCCCGCTTTCCCCCTCTGGGCTTTTGGGGTTTCTAGGGGGGGGGGGGGGGGGGGTCCAGCACCGCACACCCACCCCGCAGTCCCCATCCTGGGAACGAGGATGAGGATGATGCACATGGCGATGATCCCCATCCCCAAAGCCGTTTCCCCCCTACGCCGAGTGCAGCTTCTGGTGCCGGCGCAGCTGGGATTTGTGGCGAAAGCCCTCCCCGCACTCCACGCAGATGTAGGGCTTCTCGTCGCTGTGGGTTCGCCGGTGCCGGATGAGGTTGGAGCTGACGCTGAAGCGCTTCCCGCACTCCCCGCAGCAATAGGGCTTTTCCCCGGTGTGGGTCCGCTGGTGCTGGATGAGCGCCGAGCTCTCGCTGAAGCGCTTCCCGCAGGCCCCGCAGCTGTAGGGTTTCTCTCCGGTGTGGATGCGCTGGTGGGTGACCAGGTTGGAGTTCTGGCTGAAGCCCTTCCCGCAGGCCCCGCACGTGTAGGGCTTCTCCCCGGTGTGGGTGATGCGGTGCCGCACCAGGTCCGAGCTGCGGCTGAAGCCCTTCCCGCACTCCCCGCAGATGGTGGGGCGCAGGCGGCCGCCCCGCAACCCCAGCAGCTCCTCCAACGGCCCCAAAGCCCGCGGGTGCCCCAAAGCTCCGCTCCTGGACTGCGCTGCTGCTGCTTTCCGACGCCGCTTTGCGGGGCGACCCGGTGCCTCGCTGCCGGGATGGGCTGAGGGGAAAGCGGGGCTGGGCTCCGAGATGTGGGGCTGTGACCCCTCCACCCCTTCCCCACCCCCTTCGTGCCTTCTTTGTCGCCTTTACACCTTCTTCGTCCCCTTCGTGCCTTTCCCATCCGCTTCGCACCTTCCCTGTTCCCTTCCCTCCTTCCCCGTCCCCTTTGCAGCCTCTCCGTCCCTATTACCCCATTTCCATCACCCTCTCCATGTCCTCTTCCCCTTCTCCATCCCCTTCGCATCGTCCCAATCACTTTTCCACCCCATCTCCATCCCCTCTTCCCCTTCCCCATCACCTCCGTGACCTCTTCCCCTTCTCCATCCCTTTTCCACCCACTCCATCCCGTCTTCCCCACCTACATCCCACTCTTCATCCCATTCCCACCTTCCCCATCCCTTCTGCCCCTTCCCTGTCCCTTTTCCACCCCCTCCACCCTCCTTTCTCCGTCCTTCCCACCCCATCCCCAATCCCCCCACCCCATTCCCATCCCTTTTCCACATTTTCTCCATCACCTCTACCCCCTCCCCACCCCCCTCCCTGCTTTGGGGACATCCCTGCACCCTAAAATTGGTGTCTCCCCACACTGTGAGGCAACTGGGACATCCTCATGTTATGGGATCGGGGCATCTTCACGCTGTGGGATTGAGGCATTGCCATATTATGGGATGCAGGCACCCTGCACCCTCCATCACCAGGACACCCCCACACTGTGGGATTGGAGCTCTCCAGGACCACCCCCCCCGGTCCCAGAGTGCCCCACAATCGGGTCACCCCCCCCCCCACCCCCACGCGTGGGATCCCCCTCAGCAGGTCTTGGCGGGAGGGGCAGTGGGGTCTCACCTGCGGCGGTGCTCTCAGGGTCCCGGGGGGGGTCCGGGCTGGAGGGCCCCCCCTCTGCGTCCATCACGCTCACACACGGGGAAACGCTGGAACGGGTGGCGGGGGTGGGTGGGTAATGCAAAGAAATGGGATGAGCACGGGTGGGGGGGGGGGGAGGAAGAGGGGGGTTACAAGAACCGTCCGCAGCACCAGGACCCCCCCCCTCCCCCCGCACTCACACCGCGGCTTTGCCTCCTCCCCCCTGAGCTCACCGGGACCAGGGGGCGGCAGTGGGGGCTCTAGTGATGGCGCAGCTCTTGTCCCCCGACCGCCCCCCTCCCCCCTAAAAATACAACCCCACCCGCAATGGGGACGGGGACGAGACCCCCCCCAGCCGGGGGTTGCGGGGGACCCCGGCGCGCGGCCCCGCGTGGTGCTGGGGGGGGGGAAGGGGGGGCGAAGGGGGGAGCGCGGGGGGTCCCTGTTCGTGAATGGTGGCAGTTGGTGTGGGATTCAGAGGGGGTTATGGGGGAATTGGAGACCCCCCCCCTCCTCCACCGCGCTGTGTGTGGTGCTGTGAGCTTGGGGATGCAGGGGACACAGGGAGGTCCTTTCTGCCCCCATCCATGTTTGCAGCATGGGGCTTGGAGGGGGGGTAGCATGGGGGCATCCCAACACTTCCTACAGTATCCCAGTGTGTCCCAGTACATCCCAGTGCATCCCAGTACTTCCCAGTGCGTCCCAGTACATCCCAGTGTATCCCACTGCATCCCAGTGTGTCCCAGTACATCCCAGCGCAGCCAGCACTTTCCATTGCATCCCATTGCATCCTATTGCATTCCAGTGCATCCCAGTCAATCCCAGTGCACCCAGCACAACCCAGTACACCTCAGTAAATCGCAGTATACCCAGTACTTCTTCCTGCACCCCAGTACTTCCCAGTGCACCCAGCATTCCCATTACATCCCATTGCATCCCAGTACGTCCCGGTGCATGCAGCACTTCCCAGTGCATCCTAGCGCTCCCCACGGGTGGTCGCTGTCTGGGTGACATCGGGATGCCCCCAGTTCCGTGTTCCAAGTCCCGGTGCTCCGACCCATTCTGGCCCCAGGACCTGGAGAAGGGGAGGGACTGGGAGCACCGGTGTGAACTGGTCCCAGTGTCACCCAGCACAGGGACACCAATGTCACCCAACATGGTGACACCCCGCTGTCACCCCCCAGTGACACCCAAACCCCGGCCCCATGGGTGACACCGGTGTCACCCTTATAGGAACACAGGGACATCCCGGTGTCACCCAACACGGTGACCCGGAGTCACGGGGACACCCCCATGTCACCCTCACGGTGCCCCCCCCGCTGTCCTCCCCTCCAGCCCCACGGACAGCCGCTGCCCAACGCCGCCCCGCACCCCCGAACCCCCCAACGAGGGCCCCTGGCACCCGCTGGGCGAACACAGGGAGAGATGATTGGCGGAGAGCCGGCTGGGGGCGGGGATTGCGAGGGCCGGCTCCTGGCGATTGGAGGAACTCGCATCGTGAGGGAGGAACTGATAGGAAGGCGGAGCTTAGAGGGGCACCGCGCGCTGATTGGCGAAGTGGGTAGCGGAGCGAGGTTAGGAATCTTCTGCGCATGCGCGGCCGGGTTCTTTCACTTCCGGGTAGCGGCAGCGACTTCCGCCTTTAGCGGCCTTGCAGAATCTGCGCCGGTTCCGGGCCAGGGTTTCGGGAACTCGCCGCGCCCCGGCCGCTCCAACTCCGTACAGAACTCCTCCCTCCCCCGGTATCCGCTGCCCCTCGTCCCACCCCGCCCCGGCACCGCTCGGGGCTCGGGGCTGGGCCGGGCCTGGCGGGGCGGCGGCGGCGGGCGGGCGGGAGGCCCGCAGGATGTGGTACATCATGCAGAGCGTGCAGAGCAAATACTCGCTGTCCGAGCGCCTCATCCGCACCATCGCCGCCATCCGCTCCTTTCCGAGGGACAACGTGGAGGATCTGATCGGACGGGTGAGCGGTGGGGGGGTCCCGAACCGTTCCCGTTAATAGAGGGCCGGCTGCGCGGAGGCCTCGTGTCGGCCTGCAGCTCCTCTCGGGGCGGCGCTGAGCTCTGCTCTCCGTGACGGCGGCAGGGCCCGAGGGAATGGCGTGGAGCTGCGTCGGGGAGAGTCGGTGAGGGGGGGAATAGGAAAGAGTTTCCCCACCAGAAGCGGGTGGGCACGGAAAAGAGTAACTGCGAGCCAGAAGCGCGCCCTGCTGGCCAAGAGGACCAGTTTTTCGTTGGCCGCCTGGCGATACGACCCACGGGTGGCCGTACTCTCTTAACCCCGCCGTGTTTCTGCAGGGCGCGGATGTGAACTGCATGCACGGCACTCTGAAGCCGCTGCACTGCGCCTGCATGGTGGCTGATGCCGATTGTGTGGAACTGCTGTTGCAGAAAGGAGCAGAGGTAAACGCCTCTTCGGAATGGAGCCGTGGTGTCTTGGTGCTGGACTCTTTGCTTCCTTAGCAAGGTGGAACCATCGATTCTGAGCACTGCCAGAATTGTGCTTTGTCTTGGTGACAGCTGCTCTGCTCTCTAAAAGAGTAGAATGGGTGAAGGTGTATTGCACGAGCATGGGAGCAATTCCAGCATTTCGGTAGTGTTATTGCCTGAGATTTTAAGTGCACCTGCTTGAAAACAGACTTTTGATGAAAGCCTGAAAGGGGCGTTAAGTGCTGTACGTTTCCTGCTCGAATTTTGGCAGCTGGTAGATTGCACCCCCCACCTTGTGTGTGCTTTATTTTCTCATCCTGTGGAGGAATGTGACCAGAGTCCAGAGGAGGGCCATGAAGATGCTCGGGAGCTGGAATGCCTCTTATGAGGAAAGGCTGAAGGAGCTGTGGGTGTCCAGCCTGGAGAAGAGGAGGCTCTGGGGAGACCCTCCAGTGCTTAGAAGGAGCTTAGCAACAGGGGAGAACAACTTCTTAGGTGGGCAGGCTGCAGCAATAGGAAAAGGGGGAATGGCTTTAAATTAAAGGAGAGGAGATTTAGGTTAGATGTCAGCGAGAAGCTTTTCACTGAGAGGGCAGTGAGGCCCAGAGAGCTGCGAGCGCCCCAGCCTTGAGGTGCTCAGAGCCACGGATGGGGCCTGGACGTGTGATGGGAGGAGCCCAGGGCAGGGGGTGGAGCAGGGGGGGGCTTCGAGTTTCCCAACCATTCTATGGGCTGCAGGCAGGGCTTTGTGCCCTGCTGGTTTCGGTCGCCCTGCATCTCCCCACTCCTGCAGGTCAACGCCTTGGACGGCTACAACCGCACGGCCCTGCACTACGCGGCCGAGAAGGACGAGACGTGCGTGGAGATCCTGCTGGAGTACGGAGCCGACCCCAACGCCCTGGATGGCAACAAGGACACGCCGCTGCACTGGGCAGCCTTCAAGAACACGGCCGAGTGCGTGCGCGCGCTGCTGGAGAACGGCGCCCTGGTGAACGCCCGCGACTACAACGACGACACGCCGCTCAGCTGGGCCGCCATGAAGGGCAACCTGGAGAGCGTCAGCATCCTGCTCGACTTCGGGGCCGAGGTGCGGGTGGTGAATTTGAAAGGGCAGAGCCCCATCTCGCGGCTGGTGGCGCTGCTGGTGCGGGGACTGGGCACGGAGCGCGAGGATTCCTGCTTCGACCTCCTGCACCGCGCCATCGGACACTTTGAGCTGCGCAAGAACGGCAGCATGCCCTGGGAGGTGAGCAGGGACCAGCAGCTGTGCGAGAAGCTCACGCTGCTCTGCTCGGCGCCCGGCACTCTGCAGACCCTGTCGCGTTACGCCGTGCGCCGCAGCTTGGGCGTGCGCTTCCTGCCCGAGGCCGTGGAGCAGCTGCCCCTGCCCACCTGCCTGAAGGAGTACGTGCTGCTCCTCAGCTAGGCACGGGGCGGCCGTGGGTGCGAATCCTGCTTGCTGTGTTGACTGGCGGGCGCTGGATGGACAGCGGGACCCACCGACGGGCGCCGTCTCGTCTCCTTGCCTGCAGCTCTTGCCCTTTGCGAGCTCCTTTTCTGCGTTTTCAGCCTCGTCGAATGAACTGTCCTCCCTTTAACAAATGGTGAATTCCATCCCAGCTGCTGCATTCACCTGTTCTTTCCGTTGGGGTAGGCCTTGGGGAAAGCGAAGCTTTCTGGGTGAGAACGGAGAAATCTCTTCTTTCTGAAGGACTCGAGGAGAGGCCCGCTGGGTGAGCACGTGCAATGTGAGTCTGCTCCCTGGGGCGAGCACCCACGGCCTCCTCGCTGCACACGGCGCCGGGGCAGACGTGGGACCCCCCTGCTGGCACCCAGCAGAGCTTTGTTCACTCCCATGTCTGTGATTTTTTTTGGATGTATTCAGGGAGAATCAGCGCTTTAGGGAAAGAGAGAAGATGGGGAGCCCTAGGGACTGCAGTGTTTGCAGGAGGAAACCCTTCGTGGCACCGATGGCGTGAGGGCTGGGGAGTGAGGAAGTGCCCTGATGGATGCCTGAGCAGTGAGCAGGGCCCTCGCTGCCCCCTCATCACAAACTTGGCCACAACTCCTGCAAAAAGAGGAAACTATTCCCTGCTGTCACAAGCACAGGGTGGTCCTGAGCGAGGGCTTCACCTCTGATCTGCCGTCCGAGAACCCATCCCAGTTCTGGGTTTGGTTTTGCACTGCCAGCTCACCGCGCCAGGGCTGCTTTTACTGATACGTGTGCAGTGTGTGTTTGGAGGCAGGGGCAGCAGCTCCTCGCGTGGCGGAACGACGCAGGGCTGCAGCTGAGGACGCAGAGCCGCTGCCTGCCCTGTGTCTCATCTGTCCCCGGCTTCCGTCCACAGAAATAAAAGGCTCCTTGCAAGCCACACTCTGTAAGGTTTTGTGTTGCACAGCCAGCGGGAGCAGAATTGTGCCCTGTTCTCATCTGTCACCTGAGAATCCTCGGGGGGAGCTGCCTCGAGCTCCCAGAGGGGAGGTGAGAAGGGTAAATACGGGTAATTACCCTGGGGGGGGAAGTAAGGTTGCGTTCGTAGGGCTGCGCGTGCGTGGCAGCCGCGTGTGCTGCTGTGTGAAGCGTGGGGAGCCTGAGCACAGGTTGTGTTTTTGTCACCACCACGGGGCGGTGCTGCTTTATTGAAGCGTCACAATTCTGAGTTTCAAACTAAAGTGATGCCCTACAGCCCTGACCTCTGCTTTCAGGTCAACGCAACGTCCTGCCGCAACGCGAGCCGCTCGCGGAACGCTTTGCTCTTTCAAAAGCCCATAAAACACCTGGCTGGATCTAAACCAGCCCGAAATTACCCTGAGGAAACCCTCGGTTTTCGGCAAAACTGCTCTTTCAAAAGTGAAGATGCTGCGGGGGATTTGGGGGGGGGTCTTTCAGAGGGTCCTCCCTCACATGTTGTACTCCTGCGAGACCCTCTTTTGCCTGACGTGCTCCATGTGTGCCTTCTCCGAGGTGTCCAGCTCGATGTTGTACTTGGCCAGGATCTTCAGGATGGGACGCAGCTTCAGCCACCACTGTTCCTTGGGAATGCGGTGCCTGGGGGGTTGGAGAGAGGACGGTGTGAGCCCGGCGCGGCGCTCCTGCGGCGGTGCTGGGGGGGGACGGCGGGCACCCACTCGAAGTCTGTCTGCTCCTTGAGTTCGGTGAGGGGCTGGAACACCAGGCTGCGTTTGCGCATGCCCAGCAGGCACGCCGAGTCGGCTGTGTTGGCGAAGATCCGACCTGCAAGGAGCGCCCGGAACGGGCTCAGCATCGCGGCCCCCTCCAGGGGGGGGCAGCAGAACCCGCAGAGCGCAGCGGTGCTTCGCTTTGAAACAGAGGAGCGGGAAGCGTGAGCACGCGTGCGTGGCTTGGGGGGGGAGCTGAGGTTTGTGATCTGCGGGGAAGGCGAGGGGGCTTTGCAAATGCGGATGGGAGCCCCCTGGTTCTGCCCAAGCGGGACCCACCGTGCCGGGAGCACTCCTTGATCTTGCCAGTGATCCAAGCCACCGACTTGGCGCCCATTTTAGTGCCGAAATTCCTGTCGAAGGGGGTCGGGGTGCCGCCCTGCAGGGGGAAACGGCAGCAGGTGGTGGGGGGAGCCGTGACCGAGGGGCTCCTGCCCTCTGCTGGGAGCTCACAGCGCGGCCGTACCTGCTGCATGTGCCCCAGCACGTTCTTGCGGCAGTCGAAGATGCCTTTGCCCTCCTCTGTGTACAGGTTGTAGATGAAGTCGGTGGTGTAGTTCTCGTTGCAGCGCTCGTTCCTGCGTGAGGCAGCAGGAGGGGGCTCAGGGCGGCTGCAGCAGCCGATGGGTCCTTCCAGGCCCCTCCATGGTCCCATCTTTACCTGAGCACCAGCCCGCGCTTCACTGTCGTCTTCATTTTTTCGGTTATGTGCTCCACGTTGATCTAAGGATGAGAAAAAGAAGCGTTCGAGGTTTGGCTTTTGGAAGTGCTGTGGGAATAAATGCGACACCCCCGTCCCTGCGGTGATGCTTGGCTGGAGGTTGGGGATGCAAGCAGGGATAAATGCAGCCCCCCCAGCCCCACGGCGATGCCTTTGGGACCCCACCTGCAGGTCACGGATGCTGAAGTGCTCCTCGAAGATGTAGGCAGCATCGGCACCGCCTGCCAGCCCCGCCATGGTGGCCAGGTACCCGCAGTAGCCGCCCATCGTCTCGATGATGAAGACGCGCCGCTTGGTCCCCGCTGCCGACTGCTTGATGCGGTCGCAGGTCTGCGGGGAGGGAGGAAGGGGTTTGGGTTGAGGGGGGGGTGTTTAATTGTAAGCTGTGCGCCGCGGGGGGGTCGCAGGAGCCGCACCGTGGTGATGGTGTTGAGGGCGGTGTCGGCGCCGATGCTGAAGTCGGAGCCAGGGACGTTGTTGGAGACGGTGGCGGGGATGACGCAGATGGGGATGCAGAGCTCGTCAAACTTGGCTCTCCCTTCCATCAGCTCCAGGCTGCCCACGAAGGCCTGCGGGAATGGGGGGTGAGGGGCACGGCCCAGGGAGGTGCCCCGCAGCCCCCTGCCACCCCACCCACCTCGAAGCCCCCGATGATGATCAGCCCGTGGATGCCGAAGTTGGTGATGGTGGCGCTGATTTCCTCAAAGTATTTCTTGGGCAAGGTCCTGGCCGAAGCGTGGGAGGGTGAAGCCTCCGGGGGTGGGCTTTGCTTGGGCCCCCGCACCCAGACTTCCACAGGACAGCGTTACCTCTTCGTCCCCAGTTTGGATCCCCCCAGACCTGTCCAGCCGCCAACCTTATCCCAGCTGATCTCTTCCACCTGACCGGGAGAGAGGAGTGGGGGAAAGCAGCACTAAGAACGTTGGGTTGGGAGGCAAAAGGTTTTGATGTGCACCGCCCTCAGCACGTCGCTGTCACAGCACCGCCACGCATGCAAGGCTGTGGGGCGTGCGAAGCCCCCCCACTGGGCAGGGATCCCCCTCCTGGGGGCTGCAGCTTTTAGGGCTGCAACTTTCCCTGTGCGCCGCCATCCCCACGCACCCCCATTCCTGTGCTTCCTCTTCCTTTGTGAGCTCCCATCCCCACACATCACCTTTCCCTATCCATACGCACCCCCTTTCCCCGTGTGTTTCCTTTCCCCCACGCGTCCCCTTTTTCCCCCCGCCCCCTGCGCCCCCTTGCCCTCGCACATTCCCAAAGGCGAGCCCCTCGAAGCCGTCGTGCACCGCCAGCATCCTGTGCCCGTGGATGAGCCCGATCCTCACGGTGGAGCGCACGGCCGCGTTCATGCCGGCAGCAGGAGCGCCCACGTTGAGCACAGCCAACGTGTAACCGCTCTGTGGGGTGAGGGGGCAGCGTCAGGGGGGGCTCGCTGCGCCCCCCTCCGCACCCCATCCCACCTCCTTACCTTGGTGGAGGGCGGGCGGATGTGTGCCAGCAGCTTGTAGACGTTCCAGTTATTTTGGAAACTCCTGGGAAAGCGGGGAGGGAAAGGGAGGAAAAAGAAGGGGATGAGGGAGTGCTGGGGGATGGCTGCACCCCCGTGACCCCAACGGGGGCTGAGCTGTGGATGCTCACCGGCCCCGCAGTTTCACGGCGTCATCGAAGCGTTTCTCATGCATCGCTGTTGTCACATCTTTGGTCTGCGGGGAGCAGAGGTGGACAGGTTTGCACTGCGATGGCTGCATTTGTGCTGCATTTGTGCTGCACCGGCCAGGTTTGCGTTGCAGCAGGTGAGTTTGCACCTCGGCTCCACGCGCAGCCCGGGCTGCTCCGCGCCCCCCACCCTGCACTCACCACCTGCACGCACTCCATGAGGGGCAGGCGCACGGCCTGGTTCCCTGAGAGGCTGACGACGCAGGCGGGGGTGTCGGGGGTCCCTTCCAGCAAGGCCATGACGGCTTCGACTCCCATCCTGCTGCCCTGCAGAGACAGGGACAGGGATGGGGGTGTCGCCACGGCCCTGCTCGGCTGGGATGGGCGCAGGAGGGACGGAGCTGCCTACCAGGATGCGGTCGAAGGCGGAGGGCGTCCCGCCGCGCTGCACGTGGCCCAGGATGGTGACGCGGGTGTCGTAGCCCAAACGCTTCACCACCAGCTGCAAGACAGCAGGGTTGGCATGGGGATGGGGTGCCCAAACTCTGGTGGGACCAACGGTGGGAGCAGAAATGGGGGTCCCCTCGTCCCGCTCACGTCTTTGACTTCGTCAGAGGTGATGGCCTTGCCGTGTCTGTCGATGGCGCCCTCGGCCACGATGATGATGTTCAGCCTTGAGCCACCCAAACGGGTCTGGGGGAGAAGGGGGTGACAGTGGGAACGGGGATGTGGATCAGGATATGGATAGGGACAGAGATGGGGTCGGTGATAGAGATGGGGACAGAACAGGGGGAGGAAAGGAGATGAAGATGGGGACAGTGATGGGAACAGAGATGGGGATAGGGACAAAACAGGGACAGGGAAGGAAATGGGGATGATGTCCAAGATGGGGACAAAACAGGGGTGGGGATGGAGATGAGGATGGGGACACGGACAGGGCCAGGTACAGGGATGAAGTGGGGATGGGGACAAGGACAGGGCCAGGTACAGGGATAAAGTGGGGATGGGGACAAGCACAGGGC